TTTTCATATAGTTGTACTACACCTTATATTTCAAAGACTATATGATATAAACTTATACTACACTGGCCTACACTTTGTAGCCAGTGTAGTTGATTGTAGAACTTATATTACATGATTTCAATATATAGATTTCTAACATTATAATTTTTTGGTTGATAGTTTTTGGTATATGCATCATATATGGATGATATGATGCTATATTTCATATATTAATATATTCATATAGTTGTACTACACCTTATATTTTAAAGACTATATTTTATAAACTCATATGACTCTAACCATGATATGATGCTATATTTCATATATTAAGATTTTCATATAGTTCTACTACACCTTATATTTCAAAGACTATATGATATAAACTCATAATACACTTTATATTACATATATTAAGATTTTGTTATAGTTGTAGACATTTGTTAATGTATTATATAATATATTGTCTATATCGACATTTTCATGAGTTTTGCATACTATATCAACCACTTTTTAATGTCTCACTACTTCTATCATTTATTTCATACCTCAAAACCATTTCAAATATAAGGAAAATGGAGAATCCATTCAAATGTCATTTATTTCATGTTTTTTTCTCCGTTTCAAGACATTTGAGAATGGAGAATTCATCCAAATGTCCTTCATTAATCCAAGCATCAGAGAAGGCACACTCAACAAGAAGATAAGAGACCATGTAGAGAAAATGCTCTATTATCACATCGAGTTCTTCTTCGAAAATAAAAGAATAAATGTTGTCCGAGACGACTATGTGTCTCTTAGGGATCAATATCCGCATAACAATCTAATGAGATCATTGGTGTTCACTGGTGCATAGATATCATCAATATCCGCCCCCCAAAACTTGTTTGGTCGACAAAATGATGGTATAGGGCCGGAATAATAATTCCACGTCCCACCAGGGAGTCTTCTTCCTAAGCCATTGAGTCCTTAAAATCCTTGTAGTTGAATCTTCATTGCTGAGAAAAGAGATGTTCAAGAAAGCACATCTTCTCGCTGCTGAAATTTTGTGGCTTAGCATCGTACCTCTTCCTCAGCACATTAATCCAAGCATCAATATGCTGTATTTAAAATAATAAAAGTCAGAAGATATAAGACGACTTACTGATAAGTCGTCTAGAAAGTCTTCTACGTAGTCTTGGACTGTCTTCTTTCACCACGACTTTCTCTTTCCTTGGACTCATAACCGCCATATTTGTATTGATCTAGGTACCGGTGACTTCCCAGCAATCCATGGTCCACTTCCACTGATTAAACATGACTTTAATTATGTTCTCCGCGGACGGGTCCTTAACATCAGAGTCTAATTGTGGAAACATTTCACCAATGTCTTTCTGAACAAAGTTTATGATCACCGTAGTTTGCAGTAAATAGAAAGTATGAACTTAGATATTTGACGGATTAAGAAAGATGGAAAGAAACGACTTTGCAAACGACTTATAATTAAGCTGTCTGAAAAGTCTTCCAGCTGGACGACTTAGTAAAAGACTTATAATTAAGTCGTCTGGAAAGTCTTCCAGCTGGACGACTTTGTAGAAGACTTATAATTAAGTAGTATGGATAGTCTTCCCAGACGACTTAATTATAAGTCTTCCACTAAGTCGTCCAGCTGGAAGACTTTCCAGACGACTTAATTATAAGTCTTCTACTAAGTTGTTTAGTTGGAAGACTTTCCAGACGATTTAATCATAAGTTTTCTTCAAAGTCTTTTGGATTGAAGTAAATACATGTCTGCCGATAGCTTCTTTAAAGCATCCGCGTCCTTTGCCACCTTTGTAAGTCAGTATCGGTGGAGATGGTCTGTTTGGTATGAGATTACCATAGTTAGCACCCAACTCCGACAGAGCAGTGTGCACCCAGACCTTAAGATCTTGTACAAACCCATCAGCATTGTAAGAACCCGAAATATCTTTGCCCTTCATAGAGTCCATCAGCACCTTAAATGCGACTCTCCCCCATGGATGATTCTCAAACCGTTCTAACTCCATCACTAGCTTTGCCAGACTAACCCGTGTACGGGTTAAATACTTTCTCCCTTCAACGTATCCAATGAAGATGGCGAGGTATCCGAGCCGCTTGCGATCATCCCGAGACCACCCTTCGAATCTCTCAAATGCTGCTATTATCTGCTGAGTAGTTGGCCCAGCTTCAACATGAACTCCCAACATCTCCCAGAAATAAGCCAACTCCTTTGTAACAACACAGTCGGTCTCGCAAGGTCCTTGATGTACTCGCAGTTTAGACTAGTGAGGTTTTCAAACTCTAAAAGTGAAAACCTCAAAGGTTGTGGACCAACGAGACTCCACAGCTCATACTTATTCTTTATGTCGAGCTAGAAAGCGAGCATATAGTGAACCAGCCTTGAAGCCCAACCAAATCCCAGCTCTTTGAACTTGATGAAAACTCCCAACTTCGACTCCTTCAGCTCTTTATATTCATCATCATGAAGAACATTCCTTAAAGCAGTATGCAACTTCGAATAATCCGTATGATACGAAATGTTATTTATTGGGGGGGGGGGCTCTTCCTCTACTGTATGTACCCTACGGGGGAATTATGGAATATTCATTTTTTTGTCTGCATAACAATCAAAGACAACCATCTTAAACACACAACCAACCAGTATAACATTTTAATTATAAGTCTGGAAGACTTTCTAAACGACTTATAATTAAGTCGTCTGGCTAGTCTTCCAGCTGAAAGACTTATATTTAAGTCGTCTATAAAGTCTTCCAGCTAGAAGACTTTCCAGACGACTTAATTATAAGTCTTCCAAGACTTCCAGTAGAACATTTTAAACCGAATTGAAAATTCAGAGAAGATATAGTTGTCTTCGAAACAGCGGGTATAGATCGGCAAAAATAGACGTGAAAAAGAAGCGCGGTGAGAACGACGGTGAGAACGAGTATAGATACACCTTAAGTCATAAATTGATAGAGACATTGTTTTATGTTTATCTTTTCCTCAATCAATCACTCGACAGTAAGAGATATAACTAACCGGCAGCGGAGTTCAACAAAATGCCACTAAGAGAAACGACGCTAGGGTTTACAGAAAACCGGCGTGCGAACGAGACGCAAAACGGCACTAAGTTTTACAGAGAAACAACGTTAGGATTTCCTCTCAAATTTGAAATATAGGAAGCGGCGGTGAGAACGGTGGTGAGAACGACAGTGATAACGGCGGAGAGATAACCGGCAGTGAGAACGATGGATTAGAGAGAATCGACGGAAATCGCCGGTGAGAGAAACGGTGTTAGGGTTTTCTGAATTTCGCGAAAAATTGAATAAAAAATATCTTATATATGTCCGGTAAATAATCCGGTTAGGTTTAAAAGTACATTACTAGTAAGTCGTCTACCGAAAATATATTCACCAACTTAATAGTAAGTCGTTCAGACCCTAAATCCTAAACTAAATTGATTAAATTAACTAACTAACCACGTTATAAAATCATATTATACTTAAATAGTGTTTACTATACATAGAAATAAACACACTTAGGTAAATTTTAAAAAAATTCAGAAAAATATTTATGCTTTCTAAAATTTAACTCTAAGAATACATATAATACTGCAAAATATGTTGGCAAAACCTAAACCAAAGAATATCATGACTCACTACTTTCACTTATCTATGTTGAAAACAATTAAATTTGTTATATCTTAATTTATATCTCTTAAAACATATGTTAGTTACATGATTTCAATTTTTCATTTATTACAATATTTATTACAGAATTTAAAATTATTTTCCAGAATTACTATATTATATGACTTTTAAATAAGTCGTCTAGATGATTTACTTGAAAGTCATCTGGACAAAATACTTGCGGAAGCGGAAGTTAGAAACGTAAAAAAAATCAATTTTTTGTTTGTTTACAAAGAACTAGTTGTAATTTCAATAATTAATTTTGCATTTGATTCATTTGAGTTTACTTTTGCATTTAAAATCAAATTGTCGATTAGATATATTCGACAACATAACTTTTAGTCAGTGTTGGATTAACTTGAGACCAGTAATTTTGATATCTGTTAAAAATATACATCTATATACGATTGAGGACTATATTGCGTATTGACCATTAAAAATCGAGGAAGCATTGACAATTCTTCTTCTCATATCAAGCAATGGGTCATTCATCTCGTCTACTTTTCTTCAGTTTCCTCTCCCCCAAGACTGTTTTTTTTTTCCCTCAGAGAAACAGAGCAACACAAAATCATCGATCTTTGAAAACTCCAGAAGCAGAGAGGTTTCGAGAAGCTTATTTCCTTTATTTTATCTGATTAGCTTAAAATTTAATACAAAAAGGGCTCTAAATTCATTGAATCCCAGAGTAGTTTAAAAGGGGGTTTCTGAGAAGCTTTCTGTTTTTTTTTTAATTGACTTCATTACCTAAGTTTGAAAGGACGAATATAAAAGATTCTGAGAGACTAAATGTAAGTTTGAAAGATTTTTAAGACTATTTGATCAAGGGAAAAAAGGGAAAGCAAACGAAAAAGGTATAATGATAGATAAAAGGAACTAGAATAGAGATACAAAAGAAACATAATGAATGTGTGAAAAAAAAAACAAGAAAAAAACGAAATGAATAAGGTAGAAAGATATACAAGGAAAAATGGAATACTTACGTAGAAAAGAAAGAGAATTACAATACATTTATAAATTCATATCAATTTTTATGCAATATATTGTTATATTAATGTCCGCACACCGTCCACCTAGTTTTCTTTATTTTATCTGATTAGCTTAAAATTTAATACAAAAAGGGCTCTAAATTCATTGAATCCCAGAGTAATTTAAAAGGGGGTTTCTGAGAAGCTTTCTGTTTTTTTTTATTGACTTCATTACCTAACAGAGGTGGGTTCTCTCTCACTTTGTTAAAGTTTGAAGGTTTATCCACTTTTAATCCAAACTAGTGATAGTACTGAACTTACCCAATTGAAAGTTTTGATATTTGGTTTTCTTGAAAAGCTTATTGAGATGGATGAGAGTAATCATGGAGGCTCACTCCCACCTTTCCTCACCAAAACGTACGAGATGGTTGATGACTCCTCATCTGATTCAATCGTCTCGTGGAGCCCTCAAAGCAACAAAAGTTTCATCGTTTGGAACCCACCAGAGTTCTCAAGAAACCTTCTTCCAAGATTCTTCAAACACAACAACTTCTCAAGCTTTATCCGACAGCTTAATACATACGTAAGTTTAGTTCTGTTCTGTCTTTTTTTCTTTTTTTTTTTAAAACAGAACATTCTTTTGTTTAGTTTAAGTTTTTTTGTTTTTTAGGGTTTTAGAAAAGCTGATCCTGAGCAATGGGAGTTTGCGAATGATGATTTCGTGAGAGGTCAGCCTCATCTTATGAAGAACATTCATAGACGCAAACCTGTCCACAGCCACTCTCTAACGAGTCTCCAAGCTCAGCAGAACTCATTGACTGATTCAGAACGACAGAGAATGAATGATCAGATCGAGAGACTGGTTAAGGAGAAAGAAGTGTTGCTTGGAGAGTTACATAAACAAGAGAGGGAACGAGAGATGTTTGAGGAACAAGTTAAACAACTTAAAGATCAGTTACAAGACATGGAGAAGCGTCAGAAGACAATGGTTTCGTTTGTCTCTCAAGTGTTGGAGAAACCAGAGCTTGCTTTGAATCTCTCTCCGTATCTACACGAGACAAACGAGAGGAAGAGAAGGTTGAACCAAACATGTCTTGTTGCTGTGGGTGAGGATGAGGAAGGCTCCACAAGCCCTTCTTCACACGCGAGAGAGCTTCAGGTGGAACAGTTAGAGTCATCAATAGCGGTTTGGGAGAATCTTGTATCCGATTCTTGCGAGAGTTTGGGACAAGAAACAAGAAGCATGATGATGACACTTGATGTGGATGAATCATCTACTTGTCCTGAAAGCCCTCCTCTTTCTTGCATGCATCTAAGTACCGACACGCGTAAGTCTCCTCCTTCTCCAAGGACTATCGACATGAACTCTGAGTCTATGGCGCCTGCTCCGCCTTCTCCAGGAGCAGGAGTGAATGATGTCTTCTGGCAGCAGCTTTTGACAGAGAATCCTGGCTCAACTGAGCAGCGGCAAGTTCAATCAGAGAGGAAAGACGATAAAGCTGAGAAATGTTGTTGGGATTCGAGGGATGTAAATACTATTACAGAACAGCTTGGACATCTGACTTCTTGAGATAGAGAAGTTGTTATGTTTAAGGATCTCTACTTCAGATCCTTTTTTTTTTCTTTTTCTTCTTGTAACAAATGTTTCTTTTTCTTGGGTTTGGTTCTGCTTTTCAGCATCACATGCATGTCCTTTCAGTTATAACTATATCAGACTATTAGTCTTGTAGGACTATAGAAGCTTATCCTGAAAACATTGTTCAGTTATTTTCTGTCATTGATCGGTTTGATTCATGTGAGAGTTAGACATCATCTAGAAGCTCTGCTACATGCTCTCTTATGCAAAATATTATGATTGATATTTATTTTTATACTCCCTCTGCTTTTTATTCAATGACAATTTTAAGATTGCACACATAGATTAAAAAACATTTTATTCTTTACATTTTTTAAAAATAATTATTTCATTAATTATTTACTTAAACATAATTCAACAAATAATAAAACAGACAAGAAAATATTACATAAAAATAAATAAATTTTACATTGAAAAGATCATTTAATTTGGAACAATTTTTTTTATAAAAATTCAATATAAAAAACTGAGGGAGTATTATTACTACTCTACATCAAAATTAATGTACATGTAAATCACTGTGCACCTGCTGAAATACACTGATGATCATGTCATAATATTCATTGGTATTGAGTCTAAGATAACAAACAAGAAGCTCTTTGAGTTCTTCAGGGTGGTTGATAATACCATTCTCCATGATCATCTCAACCATTGAATCTCTAAAGTCCTTCTGAGGATCGCTCGAGCATTTCACTACTGCAAAGCTTTTCATCTCCATTCCTCCTCCATCGTCCTCGTGTACTCTCAGTTTAGCCTTCTTCAAGTCTTCAATAGCTTTCACTCTGCAAGCTCTTGGTGAAAAGACTCTAACCTTGCTGTTTTCTTTTGTTCCTAGCTCCTTTCTTAGGTACATAGATTTCCTCTGTTGGTCAGCCTTTAGCTTTACTTCCCTTAGCTTTATTTTCTTTAGCTTCACAAAATCTTCTCTAATGTTGCTTCTTGTACATGTTCTTGTGGCTGATTTTTGTACCTGGACCTCTGACTTTTGTTTGAGAAGCTTTTGGTCACGTCTTTCAAATCTCTTCTTATCTCTCTTCACTTGAATCCTTGGCGTCATGATCACAGTTCCTTTGTCTCTATTCATTGCTTCTACTTCCAGGAAGTTATGCGTCTCTCTTTGGAAATCTCTTGCTTTCTTCTTCACACTGCTCATGATCTCTTCAAACTTCTCATTTGACTCCATATCTTCCGGCCTTCTAGTAGCGTTCTCCTTTTCTACTGATATTTTCTGTAACCTTTTGCTGCTCTCATGAATATCTTTTCCACGTTTAGTAGAACTCAAGGAAAATTTTGTAGATATCTTCTGGCTAGCTTCATCATCTTGCTTCTTCTCTTTTGCAGGTTTCAACTTAGAAGAACCACTCAACTTTGAAAACCAAGAAACAGGTTTCTTACTTCCCCATTTCATCTTATTTCCCCATTTCATCATTCCAAAACAATCCAAGAAGCTGAACAGTTTTTTTTATGTATCAGGCTAGACTATGAAACAAGATGGATGTATCTAAAGTTTGTTGCTGTTATATGGTTAGGTCTTTGTGTTTAATAGGGAGATGAGAAGATGTTGTCTTAACGGGTAAAAGCTATTGCAGTTTGGAAAAGATAACCCAATCAGCCTGAAGCATCTTGTGCCCACTTTTAGCCTTAAGAAAACTTTTTGTTTTATTGGTTTTGTAATCTCTAGGTATGTTCTGGAATTTATACCGAAGTGAGGGGACCAGTTGCATCAATCAAAACAACAAATTTCATCGATGACAAAGACTTAGGCCATGTCTTCTTTCTCAGTAACGTGACCGATCCAAGAACCACAAGAATCATCCCATCTTTTAGTTTGTAGTAGCTGTCTTAATTGCGTAAAACCTATAAACACTTGGGTTCTTGCTCATGCAATGATTACATTTATATTATTAAAATTGAATTACATTTACAATTTTTGTAACGTAGGAGACATCTCTATATTTCCTAGGGGAATCTTTAGAATTACAACTACTTAGCTTTTAATTCGCCTCTGACCATCATTTTATTTGAATATCCAAAATACATTAAAAAAAAAAGAATTTGTATCAGAAATCCAAAACTATAACTATAAACATGAACCCCAAACTTGAAAAATATTTGTAATACCTAAAATATATCTGAAACATCCAAAAGTATTTAATATACAAAAAAATATTTTGGATACATTGACTATCCGATCAGCTCTCATGTAGGACCTGGACTCAAATAGAGATCCGCAAATCTAAAAAAACTATCCAATAGGTATTTTTTTCTTGGACCCGGACTCAAACCTATATTTTTGAATCAGTTTTGGTTTGGTTTCTTGAGTCCGGATAAAAATGCAGAGGCTTATGAAAGAATTAGATAAGAATGTACATACAAAATATCAAATAAACTAACTCATAAATTAAAGAATTTTTTAGAAAAAAATATCTTCTTCAATATAATATGATTTAATTTGTAACATAATAATATGCAACAATCTCAAAATATTAATTCATATCAAATTTTGCTTATGATTTAAAAACTCGCGCTTCTGAAGCACGGATCAAAATCTAGTTACATAATTATGTCTTTAGTCATCTAGCAAACTGGTTATAGAATTAGCCCCAGACCCTAGTTTTCATCCAAAAAGAAGAATATGATTGTTATCAGTCCCGGATCCTAGGCTAAGAGAATTTTAAGCATGAAGATGGTAAAGCTATAAGATTCAGGGTTATGGTTAAAGATTTTGTGAAGTTGTTGAGGTGGTCCTTATTTTAGAGGAACAGCTTAATCTCTACATATGGATATATCACCTACCTTGAGGTATGATGGTTTGCGTCATCCACCACCAACTTGTTCATGATTTTAATCTCTAACTTATAATTTTTTTCTTCTATAATATATCCACCCAATGGAGAAACATAGTGAATTTTTATTTACACAAGGTCTTTTGTTTCTCTATATATTGTAAAGACTAGGCCTGGGCAAAAAAACCGGAATCGAAAAACCGAACCGGAATCGAACCAAAATATCCGAAACCGGAATTGAACCGAAGCCCTTAAATATCCAAACGGTTCTTTTATTTACCCAAAATAACCGAACCGAACCGAGAACCGAACAGATACTCAAATATATAATACTATTAATTTATATACATATAACATAATCAAATATATGATTCTCATTTAAAAATATATTAGAAGTATCAAAAAATAGTTGAAGATAAGTAAATAATTATAAAGTGTTCGAACTACCTAAAAGTATATGGATAATTTTATCCAAATATCCAAAGTAATCCGAATTATCTGAAATTTGTATCCAAATCGTTCTATTTATTTGATATTTTATCCTAAATAACTGATAACTTACCCGAACTGGAACTAAATGAGAACCAAAATTTTTAGGTATTTTATGATTCCTAGTTTTACTATCCGAACCGAACCTGAAACTATCCGAACCGAACTGAACCCGGAACTATCCGAACCGAACCGAAAATAGGTCACGTAGTAAATGTATCCTCTAACCCCCTATCCGAACTACCCGAAACCCGAAATATCCAAACCGAACAGAATGGATATCCGAAACGCCCAGGCCTAGTAAAGACTTTGCATAGAAGCATTAGCAAATTCACCAGTTTCAGGCACTTCTACTTTCTAATCTGAAAAGGAAAAAGAGAATAGTATTCCTTTTCTTATATAAGAAACTTTAATTTTAAATTATCTCTTATGATTTTTTGGACCGACCGTCTACTATAAATAAAAGGAGGATATCAAGCCTTGTGAGGGTGTCCACATCGGATTGAAAAATCATTCAATGGAGTTGTCCCCTTTTGCCACGTCACTGAAATTGCAGATTGATTCTTTGGTTTTTGATTTCTTTCACTCTGACCCTAAAGGTTGAAATGATAGAGAATGACCCTTGATTTTTGCCCAAACTTCTTAATTGTTCATCTTAGACCCTGTCAAATGAAATTATGTATGCAAATGCAATATAAAGACATAAATGCAACCTAGAATGATCATAAGAGATATCACCGGATTTTTGTACAGTAATATATTTTCAAACAATTTTTGTATTTTTGTAAATAAAATATTTAGCAGACATATGGAGATATTTTACTATTTTACTGTAGTAATGTATTTATATGGTTCAAACAAAGAAATCAAAACCGTTTACTACTGCTTACACACTATAAAGGAGGTGAAATAAAATAATATATATATTTTAATCATTGGTATAATCATTTAGTTTTATTTTATTTTCTTTTCAGAGTGGAGAACATTGGTTTACTGACGTTTAAAAAATATTTGTTACGTCAATTAAATGATGATATGAGATTATGAAACTGAATTTATAGAGCTAATGTAACTTAGTTTAAGAAATATTTTTGCCAAAAAAAGAAAACAAAATTGACAAACTAATTGAGAGAAAATGCTCAAATATAAAACTATGAACAAATCGTGGAAGATAAAATTTTGAGCAAACACGTGTTTGTTAATTTTGCATATTTTTATTTATTTATTGAATACTGAGTATACTAGCGATTTTTTTTGTCATTCTATTAATATTTTAATTTGTCTTTGTCAACTCATTTATTTGGTTTTTTTTATACAATCCAAATAGAATTACACGTAGATCCACTAAAATAAATCCTCTTATTTATATTCCAAATAATTTGATAGCCAACAAGAAAGTTAAAGCCTCTTATTTATATTCCACTAATCTTCTGTTCCGTAACTGCTATCTCAGATTCTTTTTTTCTTTCTTCACTTGCTAGCTCGGCAATAGCTCAATAATAGCACAGATCTGGATCAAATTTTAAAATACTAAATATAACTAAAAGATTAAAAAAATTAAACTGATGACATTTTTTGAATGATAAATGACTTACTCTCTCCCATGTATATTGACATATTTCCATACTATGATTTTATATCATTACAAATGTTGAATCCAAGATATTAACTTAATTTACATACTAATTACAATTTTTGATAATAATTTGTCTTATAATTTTTGTAAACACGCTAGAGACTGCTCCCCTCTCATAGAAATATATAATAAATATATTTATCAAGTGAAAAATACTGCAAGATTATATTATACTTTAAAGAAAATGAAAAGATTGTGAAATTATATATGATAAAAATGTTCTTAGATCAGGATACAGATTAAAACTGCAAACATATTTAGAATATCTCTTAGACATTAAGAATGTTCATTTACCCTTATTATTGTAAACGGTAATCACAAAGTTTAAGATCAAATAGAAAACATTTCTAATAATATTGTAATGACTCAATGTTAATAAAAAGGGAAGTTAATGTTTGTACATAAATTGTAAACTCATTTTAGAATACAAATATATGGTAAAGTTACTTCTACGGTTCGACGAAGATGGTAATTTCAATTTTTACATTTTTTCGCAAAGATAATCGTTTTATGTTTTGAATGTAAGTTTATAAATTATTTATCCATTTTACCCATATTGATTAAAATAATTACAATATATAATAATTTTTTTTCAAAGATTATAGATAAGGTAGGTAAAACTTTTTGATATCATAACTTTATCCCTAAATTATGTGAATTTTTTTTAAAAAGTTACAGTTTTGTGAAAATAATGTTTATATGGTATAAAGTAAAAAAGAAAACTAAGTTAGTTATACTCCAAAATTACTGAAAAGAAAGAAAATAGAAATTATAAAACTAATGAAAATTATTAAAAAATAATTACAATCAAACAAGACCATTTACGTAGTAAACAAAAATTCAATTAAAATAAATAAACCGCGCGTAGCACGGTGAAAAGATCTAGTATTATTAAAATGACAAGATGTTTAATTTTCACGACTATTTCAAACTTGGTGATAGGGATACGAACCCGTTGTGTTTTTATTGATGAAAGCTTAAATTTTGTAAGTTAATTTTAATTTAATTGATATAGTTATCAACAAGTACAATAACTTTTCCAAATTTCTTTGTGTTTTTACCAGAAATAAGATTCAACAATCAACTCCATAATCACTATTTGACTGTTATATAGCAATAACAGCCCTATTTTTATTTAGAGATAGATTTCTGCCAAAAAATGGCAAGATTTTTGAAACTTAACCTTCAAAATCAAAATCGATATTTATGCAGAAAATTAGAGAAAACGCTTACAAGAAATTTTAAGCATGATGCAAAAAGTATCATCAAGAAGAGATTTCATAAGGCAGCTCAGGGTGATGCAGTCAGACATGAATCTTCATATGACAAGTAGAATTGTCGGCTACAATATTATCTTTGTAATGGTTTTCTTAGTTTGTAATAACATAATTAATCTGACCAAAAAAATCCAAATCTCACAAGTCAATCCATCAAGTAGCAGCAGTCAACCTATAATATAAAGTTAAACCATCTGTGTAGAGTGTAGAGTAAAATGAAAACTGTTAACTATTCCCTCCGTTTCAATTTAGTTGTTAGTGTAGAGTAAAATTTATGTTTCAAAATAATTATCATTCATAATTTCATTACAAAACATTATTAACTTTATATGTTATTCTATTTTTTATTTGTTGAAATTTCGTCAGCTAGGTGTATAAATAGTGATGTTTTTATTTAGAACAAAATTATATGTTTTCTGAATTTGTGTGCACAAATTTAAAACAATAATTAAAATGAAACAAAAAGAGTGTTCAACATAAATTAAAACAACGTCGTTTTGATGCTAAACTTTAAAAACAAAATTTGTAGCCATGAAAAGTATAACACAACACCTCACACTCAATTGATACGCCATTAAATCGTTTCAACCAACTCATTTTTTGATTTTGTAAAAACAAAATAATTTAACTTCTGATTTAATCAACTATAAAATTAAGATAGAATAAATAATTATTTTTATTTTCAATTTATATTTAAGAATATATATACATATATATATATATATATTATAATTATGGATTCAGTTTTTTGTTTACTTCTTTTGGTTGAAAATATATTAGATCAACTTACATAAGAGTAAGAGGAAATTTTGTTAGAAATAAAAAAATGTAAAATTATCAAAAAGTAAAACTTAATATTATTTCGAAAATGCATATTTTCAAATTATAAATTTAATCCTTATCATATTTTTTAGTAAGCCATGTCATAGTTTTCTAAAAAAAAACTAATATTGTGATGACACATAAGCAAATTTCAAAAATTTACTTCTCAAATAATATCTTTGGAATGTTGTGAAGACTTATAATAATTTTTAATCGCTTCTCAATATAAAGGAAAATTTGGAATCATATCAATAGTAGAAGGAAAATGAAGTTTATATGGATAGCAAAAGAAAATCTATGATATGTTATAATTATATTGATTTTGGACAAAAATACTTTTTCATGCGCGTGGAGAGGTGCAACATGTCGTAGTTTTCTGTGTTTCTTCAAATGGGTTTCCCTTAACAGTTGATTGAAGAGCAAAAAAAAAAGAATCAAAGTAATTCCAGTTTGATTGAAAACTAAATGGTCATAGCAGTCGTGTCGACGCCATTTCTTTATGCATTGAACATCATTACCTGCAGATCCAGGGGGATTGTGGGATAAGACTTCATTTAGGTGTTATCTATGTATATGAGATCTGTTTAAATTTGTCACTGTATTTTTGAAAATTTTCAATATAGTTATGGGTTCATGGGAAAGAGATCAGATGTATTATGTAATTGTTAAGACTATACTATATTAGTCATCTTAATAAAATAAAACCGCTGATTAACACAACCTATTAGGTATTTTTGATATTTAATAATTTTATTGCTATTTTTGTTCAGATGACCATATGTTGACATGATTTGTTCATTAATGTATATTCTAAATCTGTAATGGCATAGTTATATATTTGTATTGCTTGTTTTGTTGCAATCAGCCATATACTATACCACCTGATCTGATAAATTGTAATCTATATACGGATTGCGTTTATATCTATTTTTATTTTTAAATTATTGTTAATATTTTATATATATTAATATTATTTTTATTTATTTTAAGAATTTAAATTTAGATCCGACACTCGGATATTCGAGAACTCCTAACCCAGATAAAGATAGTAAAAACATGGATCTATCAAACAAGCATCCGGATGGATCTGGATACCTTTTAATAGCACGGATACCGGATCTTTCTCAGGCCTAGGCTATGCTTTTGTTGAAGCACATGTTTTCTACTTCTCACAGCCACACGCTTCTAGAAAAAAAAATGGAAATTGCTGCTGTAATTGTCCATCAAATGCTGGATTTAATGGGTATATTCTTAATATTTTATTCTCTTATCATTTTTCACTAAATTCACCCTAATATATATTTAAATGATTTGACTACATACCCAAATCACACCCAACAATTAAAGAGTTTATAGCTAGCTGCAAATGTTTTTTTTTTTAACCATGTAAGCTTTGCAAATGTTTTTTTTTAACCATGTAAGCTTAAAGCTCAGAGATTATGATTTGCAAGTAAAAAATCTTTGTAATTTTCACTATGATCTTACTGTAGAAGTTTTCTGATGTAAATACAAAGACAAAACAGAAACATAAGAATATCATGTGACTGTCATTAGAATAAGCTTAATCTGATCAATGATGAAGTATCACAAGTCAATTTACTTACACTAAAAATAAAATTTAAGACTTTCACTTCATCTTCTCCCAGTTAATCAAAACATATTAAAAGATTTAAAATTAACACTTTCCTTACAAAAAAAATAACTGCACATAAATAACAGTTAAATGTTTATGGAATAGGAAAACAAATATAACTTCAAATATGTTATTTTCTATTGATTATTCAACAGCGTCTGTAGTCCAACGGTTAGGATAATTGCCTTCCAAGCAATAGACCCGGGTTCGACTACCGGCAGACGCATTTTTAAACCCGGGTCAGTGGGTCAGTCTTTCTTTTGGCTCGGGTCGTGTAGGTAGAAGTGTTGTTGATATCTTGAGGAAAAGAGACTTGCCTGTTAAAGCACTAGTACTATCCTTTTGGATGTACTTCGTGGGTGAAGTCTCCAACTTTTTGTGAAAATATCAATAGGTTAGGAATGGAGTGAAGGCTCGGAAGATGTTAGGAGCTGACATTGATCTTGTGTGAGATTCCACAGTTTGGAGATAATCGATAACTATTTTCTTACTTCGTAGATTCTTGATTTAATCAGTGGGATAAAATCATTGATGTTGTCAGATTGTTGCAGACATTACCAAGGAAATACATTAGTTCCGGAATAGTTCAAAGTAGTGAGGAAAGTGATCAATGCTGTTGCTGTTAGTCTGTCCAAAGGAAGGAGATAAACAATAAACCTGAGAGACAAAAATGCAATCAGGTTGGTAAAATTTTCTTAAAGATTTGATGCTCTCTTTTTTTTCTTTTTTATTCCAGCTCTGAGAAATGAGGGTTTTTAGATATGGTTTTTAGCCCAAGGAGTCAGGTTCGTCTAGCCAGAGGTAATGGGACTGAAAGAACATTAATTCTTAAGTTCAATGTTGAACAAAACTAAACATATAGATTCGTGGTGATACACTGATAAAAGGCGACTCTCCCGAGTTAGTGGAATATATTAGAATGAAGAACTTGATCAATGCTTTAAAGATGGTATTGGACTTGAGAACGGGAAACTTCTTTTCATTGGGGGTAAGTTGAGTCATGTAACTTGATTAATCATTTTACCTTTACATGTCTATTTTTAAAAAGTCGAACCGATCTATAAATAACACATTGAAAAGATCTAACCGGTTGTTTGTTTTGTCTAAATGGTTGGTTCTCTTTGCTTTTTCTTTGAGTATGATGGTAAGCTTAACCTTACCGGACTTTCAAAGAAGGACCATTCTAGCGTACATTCAACAGACTCTGACTCCAAGGTGCGTTTAGTTTCTTTCTCCTTATAAACAAGAATCTTCACTGAACTCTGAATTGGCATTTGGTTTACATACGGTTACAGGTTTGTTCATGTTGGTTCTGCTAGTGTAACCCAACCAGAGAGACCCGGTTTGGACCTAAGCAAACAACTTCCGGCTGAGAGATTAAACAAGGAGCTTGACTTCATTCTCACTTACAATAGACAGAAAATTTGAGAAACTCATTTTCACAAGAATTGAGGACTAAATCAAGAAGATGTTTAATTTCTCATTTGAGCTACGTTTTGTGTGTTTGTTTTCAAGTTAAAAGTATGGTTCGTTTTAGCGAACCTTTCACAATGGATCCTAAGAATCATCCACCAGAAAAAGATGGAATCACTGGCAAAGACGCTTTGGAACTGAGCACTCTTGCTGTTTAAAACCAGGTTTCTGTTTAATGTTTCTTGTGTCAGAAAAAAAAAAATCTTTTTGAGGGTAACAACAAAAAAAAAGATTCGTACATTGTAGATCAAGATTATATACAAAGCGTATTCAGCGACAACAATAAAAATTATACCTTTTGATCCGTGGAGGTTCTAGAACACTCTCTAGCTTCTTTGCCATTTCTTTACCTGTGAGAATTGTGCCTTGTGGTGTAAGAAAAGCGGTGCGTTGAAACGGTGGAGACCAGATTCCACTTTTCTGATAATCGAACTGAAACTCAGACACGTCAATGTACTTGTCAAGAAGTTTGTCCGAAACTGGTTTTGATACGTTCTGAGTTAAAACAGAGGAAGATGAAGATGGAGGTGGAGATTCAGACATTGTCTGTTTATAAAATTAAGACAAAACAGAAAGTTTTTGATTGGAGGGTTTCAGATTCATGAGAAAAGGTTTGATGGGGACTTTTGTGGTAATGACAAAATAATGGGATTTTCAGCAAAATAATGGAGGATGAGTGGGAAGGTGCACAGAACATTTGTCTGTTTATTTTTCTCCTTTTTTTGTTTCTTTGCTAATAGAAAAGATGCGTTGATTTTGGGCACAGAGTACAAATCATTGAGTGCTGTTTTCTTTTCCAAGAATCATTGTGCTCTTTCACATGGCACATATTAACCTAAACGTCAAAGATTTTTTTTTTCAAATAGTTTATATACTGAAAAATAAAAATCATGTTAAAAAGCCAAAGTCTTGAAATAGTATATGAATCCAATTGGGTATCAGAATCCACTTATGACATTGAGGTATAGAACTTGATTGTGGTTTAAGTCTTTGCACAACTATAGTATATTTTTTACACTGCCAAAAACTTTTCTAATCAATGTTTTTTTTTGGTAAAAGACAAAATATCTAAAGTACTAATTTCTTAGTCTGAAGATTTATTACTAAATATATTAAATGTTCGCAAACATACGACTACCTATTGAATTAAAATTTACCAACATAGAAAATATGCTTAATTCTACAAAAACTAAAACTGTAGCTTTTTCTAATCAGGCCCATAGACTTTATATATAAAGGACATGTGCTGGCTTTATATATATCAAATCTTATAAATTACAGTGTCAGTTATTTAGATTAGCAAGGAAAATAAAATGTTCGACCAAAAAATAAAAATAAAAACAAAAATAAATAAATTACATTACCGATGATTGGTTGGGTTTTTATCTTAGTACCTTTATCTTTATTTTATTTTTAAAACACAAATTCTAATCAATCATGATTTCGCTTTATATTCAAAATTAAAGTTTTGTTACATTATCTACAGCTTTTTTTTTTTTGTCAAGTTTTACTTTTTTCTTAAAACAATTATGAAAATGCCTTAGAAATCATAGTATCTTTCTACATCAAAATAACATACAACAACAACAATAAAAATTACACACTAAAAATCTTGCAGCCATCTTTCTTCATATATGGTCCACTCAATCATCCCCAATTGTTTCAAAAATCTGAAAATGAAGTATGACGTCCAAAATTTTTTTGCGAAAAGTCTACTTTATTTGTAAAGTTATTTCAAGTATTGAACCTCTCTATATTATAATTTTTAAACTATTCTTGACATTCTCTTCTTAACCAGTACAAATATGATTTTTAATATATACTTTTATTGATATTGATTTATTTTTGAGAAATTTAATACTTTAGATTTATATAAAGCACATTGTTACATAAATAGCATTTATATCTTAGTATATTGGAAGATATTAAAAATACATAATAATTTAATATTGATTATAATTATTATTTAACATTAATTATAATTATTATCTTTAATATGTTATAATTTTCTATTTGAATATTATATACTGGCATCTAAAAGTACCAATTAACACTCTATATTTGGGATTATTCTCAAAAAGATAAGCAATAAACATGCACAACTAACAATAATAAATATACTAGATCATAATATGCGCAACAACGAAAATTTTATTTTAAATTTCTTAAATTTTTTTATAAATAATAGAATATTGTTTAACGTGGATTAATTAACATTTTAATCTTTTTGTATAATTTATCTTACTAATATTTTTTTTTCATATTATAATTAATTAATTTTTATAATTAGTGTTAAGCATTTATTTCTAGATAATATATATTTTGAATATTTTCATATTTATTTTGTCATTATATTGATGGGTTACTTGCACAATTGACTCAAAATTCAATGTCAAACCTAAAACTAACCCATGTTTTTTTTGCCATATTCACCCCACAAGTTCGTATTATTCAAGAAAATGCCATTAATTTTTTTTTCTTCGAAAGTGATTTTTTTACTCTCCCAACCTCATCATCTTCATGTATTTACAAGATTGCCATTGCATCAAAACACTAACAACCATGAACATCCAATTTGAAGCTCTTAATGCACCTCAAATCAATTTACACTCATTTCTCAATTCTTATGAAATAAAAAAATTTCTCTTTCATTTTCTCTCGATATTCATCCAAAAATCCCACGATTTTGATTCTAAACTTTCATGTTTCATAGAGCCATTGAAGCTTACGATTCTTGGTGGGTCACTTTTGTTTGGGATTCTGAGTGCTTGGAGAAGACTCCTGTGTGCTAAACAAGTTATCTCACTGGTTGAAATTATGAAATCAGTGTTTTTTTCCTGATATGTTCGCCCAAACGACTTCCGTGTAAGTCTTTTGGCTATAAACTTACATGGAAGTTTTCTGGTCAATGTAGAGGTTAGTTTTGCAATTGACTTTTAAATGTGTTTTTAGAGACGACTACCATTTAAGTCGACTAGGTTAAAATTCAATTGCAAAACTAACCTAAATGGGCGACTTCTTAGAAGTCTACCAGATGACCTTCGTGTATGTCGTCTGCGTCAATGTTTAATAAACTTTCATTTTCTCTAAGACTATAAAGACTTTTTAACATTTTCTTGTTAATTCATGTATATTAGTCGATACTTAAGCTCCTGAATGAAATTCATAACTTAATTGGTTTTAATTATGAGTGTGCCAACATTCATGTGTATTAATGTTTCCAGACGACTTCCATGGAAGTCTTCTACATTAGTTTTTGTAAATTTGTTAAGTAACTTTAAGATATGTTTATTTAATTTTCAAAAGTATTAAGTAACTTCAAGAATATCAAGTAACATGGTTTAATGTGTCTTCTTAAATCATAAAATATACTTTTTAACTTTTAAGAATTTGAAATTTCAATTTTCACTTAAAATTTTGAGTTTTCTGCTTAAATATGCCGCTTATATTTTAATTTTCCGCTTTAAATTTAAGTCTTCCGAGAAATCTTCCCAGAAGACTTCTAATGAAAGTGTTCTATCTTTGAACTTATATAATGTTTTATCTTTTATGAATTTGATTAAGTTTTCTTGAGAATTCTTCTCCCTTAGTTATAATATATTTGATTAATTTTTCTGTTATTGTGTTTTGCTATGAAGTTGTATCAATAACTTCAATTATGTCAAGTAAGTTTGACAAAATAATATTTTGGGAAATGAACATATTTACCAATTTTTTTTATTAATATCTCTTTAAATTTAAAAAAAAAATACAACTAAAGGAGTACACATGCAAATCACAAAACATGCAACAAACAAAACTAATATAGGTCATTTCTGTACAAAGATAAGCTTGGAATCCACTTGATATGGATGAAGACACCGTAAGAAGTCTTCTAGAATATTATGTTTTAGAAGACTTTCGAGAAGACTTCCCATAAGTCTTCCAAAGTATGATCAAGATCTGAAAAACATGTATATCAAATTCAGATCTAAAAAACATTCAAATGGCTTAAAACAGAGAAAATGGGTGGAATATTAGATATATATACTTTTATAAAACACACAACGTACATATCCAAGTGGAAGATGAGAACCATTTGATTAAAAACCAGCAACAAAAAGATAGATTAGTGAGAAAGACATGAGACAAAAATGAAAAATTCATATAAAATTTGGTGTTATCAAGTCAAAGAGAGTAGAGTAGGTGTGAAGAGTTTTAGTTAGAAAAAAGGTAAAAACTGTATGCAAAAAGAGATTACCAAATGAAGAAAAATCAGACATAAAAACTTATGAAAATGCTCAAATCTGTTATGAAAGGGAGATATGGGAGAAAACTCCACCAGAAGACTTCTAGGAAGTCTTCGAGAAGACTTTCTGGAAGTTGTCCAAAAGACTTCGTGGAAGTCGTCTAAAAGACTTTCTGGAAGTCTTCTAGCAAATTATATTTTAGAAAAATTATGAGAAGATTTTCCAAAAGTCTTCCAAAGTCTGATACACATCTGAAAAACCTGTATATCCAAAAACGTTTAAATATCTTAAAAACATATAAAATGAATGGAAGATTAGATAAATCTACATTTATAGAACACACAAAAATTTATATCTAAAATTAATGAGTGGAAGATGAGAACCATGTGATGAAAAACTTTCACAAATAAGATAAATTAGAGAGAAAGACATGAGACAAAAACAATAATTTGATATAAAGTTTGGTGTTTATAAGTTCAAAGAGATTATAGTGAGGTTGGAGAGTTTTAGAATGATGAACGTTTGCAGCCATTTGGGAGGAGGAGAGAGTGTGTAAATTTTTCCTTATATAGGAAGACAAAACTTCCAATAAGATTAAATATTTTCAATTGAGTAGACTTTCAAGTAAGTCTTCTAATAGAAGACTTCCTAAATGACTTACTTGTAAGTCGCCAAAAAACTTCAATACTTTTAGCAGGAAATTAAAATATGTTTAGCGGAAGTTAGAAAGTCATTCTAATCGCCAGACGACTTATCTGTTAGTCGTCTAGACCCTAAACACAACCCTTAAACTAAATTAACTAACTAAACATTTCATAAAATCAAATTAAAAAGTGTTTACTATACACAGAAATAAACACATATTGGTAAAAATTTAAATTTTCAAAAAAACCTTTAAGCTTTCTAAAATCTAACCATAAGAATGCATACAATACTACAACATATGCTCTTTGGAGATGATAGCCTTTTTTTTCTTCTGTAAAGAACAAATCGAGGACTGTCAAACTGTTCTTAGGATATTAAAGGAATATGAGGCAGTTTTGGGACAGCTAATTAATTTCCAAAAATTATCTATTCAATTTGGTCACAAGATAGAGGAAACACGAAGGCAGGAATTAAGAGACGTTTTAGAGATCCATAATAGAGGTGGGATGGGATCGTATTTAGGTATCCCTGAAAGCTTGGGAGGATCGAAAACACAAGTATTTGGGTTTGTGCAGGAAAGACTTAATAATCGTGTCAATGGATGGAATTTTAAGTTTTTTACCAAAGGGGGAAAAGAAGTGATTATCAAAACAGTGGTGACAGCTCTGC